AACACCTATGCGCCCGAGTGGCTTCATTGTGAAAGCATTTGATGGGTCGAGGAAATTTGTCATCGGTGAAGTGGACTTACCCATCCATATAGGACCATATTTGTTCCAGATAACCTTCCAGGTCATGGACATTATTCCTGCGTATAGTTGTTTTCCAGGACGGCCATGGATACATGAAGCAGGGTCTGTCACTTCAACCTTACATCAGAAGCTAAAGTTTATGCGTGAAGAGAAGGTAGTGATCATAAGTGGGGAGCAGGCATTGTTGATATCTCATTTGTCCTTCTTCAGTATTGTAGAAGCGGATGAGGCTGCTGTTGGAACCCAGTTCCAAGACCTATCTATTGACAACATAAGGAGAAATGAGAATTCCATGGTTTCGCTGAAGGACGCGCAACAGGTTGTGCGCAATGGTCATAATGCAGTTTGGGGGCGAATTGTGGATCCACCCGTGAACAAGAACAGAACTGGTTTGGGTTTCTCTTCGAAGAATGGCAGAGTCGAAGGTTTGAAGTCAAAGTCTACTATGACCAGCTATCATGATGTTTTCCGCAGTGGAGGTTACCTCCATCCAACTGATTCTGGAATCAATGATGTTGAGGAGGATGAAGCAAAGCAGGAAATGCTGAATTATGTGACGCATGGAGTCAGGGTTCAGAACTGGGTCACCATTAATGTTCCCTCTTGCACACATATTTCAAAGTAATTTGATTTGATTAATCTTTTTTTTGAAAAATCTTTCACTCTGCCCAAGGTGGAAGTATTAATGTTGTACGGCTTATCTGTTTGCTGTGACTGTTAAGATCATTAATAAAAGTTGACTTTTTCTCCCAAATTGTGTTTTTATTTTTTGATTTTTTCTTGGAAATGGTAATAAAAAATCCTTTTAAAAATAAATAATAACTGAAATTCAATCTGCATGATCACTTGTTATATTTGTCAGTTTCTAAAAGCAATCATAAATTATATGTGCAGATTAATTAAAAAACCTGTTGAATACAATTACCGTGCACCCTCTTCCAACATTAAATGTCTTGTGTATGGGGCTGAAGAAGAAGATTATGATGAGATCCCAGAAGAGGTCTCATGGTTTCTTGAGCACGAGGAAAGTACCATTCAACCATATAAAGAGCCTTTGGAAGTGATCAATTTGGGTTTAGATGAAGACCCGAAGGAAGTCAAGATTGGAGCACCGTTGCATCCCGATGTGAAGAGAAGGTTGATTGAGTTATTGAAAGAGTACGTGGATATTTTCGCTTGGTCTTACCAAGCAAGATATGCCTGGTCTAGATACAGATATTATTGAGCATTGTTTGCAATTGAAGTCAGAGTGTCCGCCAATTAAACAAAAGTTGAGAAGAACTCACCCAGATATGGCAGTAAAGATCAAAGAGGAGGTTCTAAAGCAGATTAATGTTGGTTTTCTTGTGACGTCAGTGTATCCTCAATGGATTGCCAATATTCTCCCATTACCGAAAAAAGACGGAAAGGTCCGCATGTGCGTAGATTACAGAGATCTAAATAAAGCTAGTCCAAAAGATAATTTTCCATTGCCTCACATCGACATGTTAGTGGATAGCACAACAAAATTCAAAGTATTTTCGTTCATGGACGGATTTTCTGGGTATAATCAAATAAGAATGGCTCCAGAGGACACGGAAAAAACAACGTTTATCACACCCTGGGGAACATTCTGTTACAGAGTGATGCGCTTTGGGTTGAAGAACACTGGTGGAACGTACCAGAGGGCTATGACAACCCTATTCCATGATCTGATGCAAAAGTAAATCGAATTATATGATGATGATATGATTGCCAAATCCCAGACTGAAGAAGGGCATATAGAAGATTTGTTGAAGTTGTTTCAGCGTTTGAGGAAGTATCATCTCCGCCTAAATCCAAATAAATGCACCTTCGGTGTTCATCGGGGAAGTTGTTGGGTTTCATTGTTAGCCAGAAGGAATTGAAGTTGACCCTAATAAATTCAAAGCAATTTAAGAAATGCCAGCGCCAAGAACTGAAGAGCAAGTCAGAGGTTTCCTCGGGTGTTTGAATTATATTTCCAGGTTCAATTCCCACATGACTGCAACATGCGAACCGATCTTTAAGTTGTTAAAGAAAGATCAAGGTTGTGTGTGGACGGATGACTGCCAAAGTGAATTTAAAAGTATTAAAGAATATCTGCTTGAACCTCCTATCTTGCTCCCTCCCATAGAAAGAAGACCGTTGATTATGTATCTGACAGTGTTAGATAAATCCATGGGTTGTATTATGGGACAACAAGATGAAACAGGGAAGAAGGAGTTCGCCATTTATCATCTCAGTAAAAAATTCACTGATTGTGAGTCGCGGTATTCCATGCTAGAAAAAACATGTTGTGCTTTGGCCTGGGCGGTAAAGCGTTAGCGGCAGTATATGTTGAATCACACCACTTGGTTGATCTCCAAAATGGATCCAATCAAGTACATTTTTGAAAAGCCTTCTCTTATTAGGAGAATTTCCCGCTGGCAGATGTTGTTATCTGAATATGATATCGAATACCACACTCAAAAATCTATTAAAAGTATTGTGTTGGAAGATTATCTTGCTCACCAACCAGTGGAGGATCACCAGTCTGTAGAATATGAATTCCCTGATGAGGATGTGATGTTCCTGAAAGTGAAAGATTGTGATGAACCATTACCTGAGGAAGGTCCGGACCCTAAATCTCGTTGGAGTATGATATTTGATAGAGCTATAAATTCTTATGGTAAAGGAATTGGTGTTGTGATTGTCACTCCTCATGGATCGCACATTCCTTTTACTGCAAGGTTAACATTAGATTGTACTAATGATATGGCAGAATACGAGGCTTGCATCATGGGTCTCGAAGAAGCTATTGATCTCAGAATTAAAATTCTCGATGTGTATGGTGATTCAGCTTTGGTAATAAATCAGATTAAAGGAGAATGGGATACTCATCACCCTGGCTTGATCCCTTACAATGATTATGCTAGAAGATTGTTACCCTTCTTTAATAAAGTTGAATTCCATCACATCCCTAGAGACGAAAATCAAATGGCGGATGCTCTGGAAACTCTGGCTTCTATGTACCAAGTGAATACTTGGAATGATATACCCCGAATTGCGGTTCGAGGGCTAGATAGGCCCGTTCATGTGTTTACAGCAAAGGAGATAGTAGATGAAAAACCCTGGTATTATGATATCAAGCATTTTCTTCAGACTCAAGAATACCCGATTGGCGCGTCGAGGAAATATAGGAAGACATTGAGAAGATTGGCAGGTAGTTTCTTCCTCAGTGGAAATGTGTTATACAAGAGAAATTATGACATTGTCTTGCTCAGATGCGTGGATATACACGAAGCATACATGTTGATGCATGAGATTCATGAAGGTTCATTTGGAACTCATGCCAATGGACATTCGATCGCTAAAAAGATTCTAAGGGAAGGTTACTATTGGTTGACAATGGAGTCTGACTTTTACAAATTTACAAAGAAGTGCCATAAATGCCAGATTTATATAGATAAGGTCCATGTGCCTACGACACTCCTCAATGTGATTTCCTCCCCATGGCCTTTCTCTATGTGGGGTATTGACATGATTGGGATGATAGAACCCAAAGCTTCGAATGGGCACTGTTTTATCTTGGTGGAAATTGATTATTTCACCAAGTGGGTGGAGGCTGCTTCATATGCCAATGTTACTAAGCAGGTAGTTGTGTGCTTCATTAAGAATAATCTTATATGACGGGATGGTGTGCCGAGCTGAATTATCACCGACAATGGATCGAATCTGAATAACAAGATGATGACAGAACTGTGTGAAGAATTCAAGATTGTGTTGCACCCCAAAATTTGCCCTCCTAATTTCACTTATATTTGGTTTAGGCTTAGCATCACATTCATATCTTTTCATTAGGTTACTAACATGGCATACATTGCATTCAATAAAGCGCTTGAGGTTCAAAGTTCAGTGGTTATGTGATATTAGGACTCCGCGGTGGTTAAGGCGTTCGTATCCAATAAAGACTGATTTTCTTATTCCGGCAGTGAGCAGGGGGATTAGGGTTGTGACCTGGGTCATTAAGAATTTATGTCTTCATCAAGCCACGAGACTATCAGGGTTTATTTTCCTATATGCGATCAAAGCCAGGTTTTTCGGCAAGTGTGTTGCAATCAAGTTTTTCATCAAATATCATGAGATTGGGGTTTGTTTTTTTATCAAGGGACTTTCTAAGAAAGCCTTATATTGTGCGTCAGGAATTGTCATCTTCAAGGGAATTTCTTGAGGATTTTAGCCTTACGTTTTCAAGTGGACATGTTTGTGACTTGAATTATAAAAGCTGAAGCACAATACAAGATTTGATGCGAGAGAGCATTAACTGAGTCAGACAAACATGAATAAAGGCTTTAATTTTGGGCAAAGTCAATATGGAGAGGTTGTTTTCTTGACTGAGTTCATGCAAGAATATTATTTATTCGATTGAATGATATGTCATATCTTGAGTTCAAGATTGGTTCATTGAATATGCAAGTTGATTAGAATTCGTCCATTCAGTCATGAAGTCAAGTGTTTAGAGGATAATCAAATGGAATTAAAGAAATCTAAACATTGGTTTGTTTTCAAGAATGTGATTCAAGCGGGTTTGGAGACCATAGTCATAAAAAAAATTGGAATGCAAAAGATAAGATACTAATGGCAAGACATAATCATTCATTTTAATTCCATTTAAGTGATTATTTTGATCCTAATTCCATTCAAGTGATTATTTTGGTTCAAGTTGTCACTTTCAGTATCATTCGAATATCGTTCAAAATCAATCCAAATATACTCCAAACCTTCATTGACGTCATTCAAAGGTCAACATCAATATTCATCATCCAATGTTCACTCAAAGGTTCATGACCATCCAACAATAGTTTTTATAAATATCATGCAAAGAGGTTCAAGCATTACATTACAAAATACCTCAAAGGCATTTACATCAGGATTTGTTTATGTATCAAAATACCTTGAGAAAGAACAGATCGGTGCTATACTGCGGCAACAAGAGAAGAAATCTGCTTGGAAGACTATTCAGTTGCAGCACACACGTAAAAACTGCAGAGCTGAAGCATGACCAAAGCTTGCAGTTTGAAAGGATGAAATCAGATGTGCTAAACTTTCAAGATCAGCTCCATAATATGAGCACTGATGCAAACTGTAGTAGTTCTTCTCTTAAAATAGATGGCCTACAAGAAATAGGAAATTATTCCCTAGATTTCCACAAGGAAAACGAATTCTGGAAGTATACCGAGTCAATAGGCCCGAATAATGTGAATCAATATCTATTGAGTGAGAAATATCCAAGGTCACTGGCACCAGAATATTGGAGGCACCCAATGAATTCACCTCATGGAATTGATGATGTAAAGGATAGAACTGAACACAATGGTGACTTGGATTTACAAATAAGGAACTGTTATAAACTCCGAGGTAGGAAAAATGCTTTAGTTTCAGCTGTACACTTCATAGGAAAAGGAGTATCTCGGGTGCAGTCACTTGGAAATACGACAATTAGCAATCTAATGAACAATCTGAAGATAAAATGTGAAGAACTAGAGTCAACCGAGGATTCATCTGATGATATGGAGTACTATGAGACTGAGAATCATAACGCTGGTGCAGAACCTCTGGAGTCTACGTGTTCCTTACATTCTCTTAATGATCATACCGTGCCCAATATTGCCTGCCTTCAAATTGGCATTATTTTCCGTTACATGTGGTCCCGATTTTGCTTTAATATTTGTATCAAATCATTATTCAACACACTGAGTTTGAATTTCACGTAAGCTTACTTCAAGAATTGGGATTCCCTGCGAAAAATAACGTCATCTTTTGTTACAAACAACTTACCACATTTTCTAGTAAATATACTCACTCTCAAAGCAGTTTAAACACTCCTAACTGATTTCATAACAACCTATAACTAACTCTTCTAACCTCCTAACAGAATTATCAAAAACAACTAACAGAATTATATAAAAAACCTGTAACTAACTCTTCTAACCTCTTAATAGAATTATAAAAGGAGAGCAAAACTCACCAGATTAGGGAGATTCTGGATTCTGTAGTAAAATGACTCTCCAAAACTCTCTCTCTCTTCTGATACCAACGTCCATCTTAACCGAACGGAGGGTCTCTCTTTCCCCCTCGAAAAATTCTCTCTTCTTACATCGATTCTTCTTCCTCCTTTATCTTCATCTTCATCCTCTAAAATCACAGAAGAAAACTCTCATCTTCTCTCTGCACTCTCTTGATTCACGATCTCAGAATTTCAACAATCTTCATCTTCTCGGACAATCTTCAACATCATTCTCACTGCTACAACCTGCAACAACCAGAACACTAACAATTCCGCCCCAAATTTTAATATCAACGGCAATTTGCAACACTGCAAGAATCAGATTCATCAATTTAACATGTAGGAAACTCACCAGTCTTCTCTGTATTCTCTCGTTTCTTTAATTGCATTTCCTTTTCATCAATTCCCCATTAAGTATCAATCTTTCTCCCTGCTTCGATCTTCTTCAATATTTCCTATAATCCGACTCTTCAACGTTCAACCATCATCCTTGACGGACAACAACCAATAACGATTCGCGCACGTAGAAACTTTGACGCACATCGAATTTGCAAAATCGAAGAAGGTGATGACAATCTTGACAGCAACAACGTCGCATTTTGTTCATCGGAGAAGAATAGCATCGCTAAGATGAAGAAGACACTTTGTGATGTTGAGGAAACAAAGAAGGAGGATTGCTCTGAATAGTGATTCAATCGACAATGATCTGAAGCAATCAGGAGCATGCAAGAGCTGGATCGGTGAGTTGCTGCGTAACGAGATGGACCCCTCCGTTAGGAGATGAAGAGACACGTTTTCTCTCAACCCTATTCCTTCTTCCAGTTTTTTATTTTCTTTTAATTTTCATTTTTTTTGATAATATGTTGATAATAAAAAAGAACAAAATCTTAATAATGAGGTTGTTGATGGTCCGTCTGGGCCGACGCTCTCCCTAGAAGCCCAATTGCTGGTATTACTTTTGTAACTGGACTATCAAAAACAAAAAAACTGCTTGTTGGATCCTTTGGAATGGGCCTAGAGTTTGCTTCTATCTTACCATGTGATTCAGTATAAACCCCACCTCTATTTGTAATTAATTTTGGATTTCCTTTTTAGTAATTTTCTTCTCTTGAATTTTGTTAAGCAAAAATGTTGATAACAATAAAATTGTTAATTGTTTTTTTTAGGAATATAATAGAATTTTTCTAGGAGTTCTTTGTTTAGAATTTTAGTTAGAATTTTCTAGTATTGTTTATGTTTTTGTTATCAAGATTTTGTGATTCGTTTTTGCTTGTCGAGATTTGAGTCTTATGCAAGTTTATTGTGCAATATGCGGATGCGCTTGATATTTCGATTGTGATTTATTTTCACAACGATGATGCTTCGACGTTATTCTAAGAATTCGATTTCTGACTCTTTTCTTTGTTGGTGCTAGCAGCTCGCGAAATTCTCTGGGTTTCTTTGCTATTTGCTTTGCTCTACGGACTAGTACTTGTTTGGTATATTTTCTTTCTACTTTCTCTCTGCATTTATCGCATCCTAGAGATCATGTGAAGTAGGATGCAAGAAATAAATAGCGTGCGCTCAAAGTCGTTGTTTAAAGACTTGTAGCAGGCATTCCGTATTTCATTTGCTATATGTGTCGCGCTTGTTTTTGTGATTGTTGATCGATGAGTCACTCAATTTAGAAATTGAGATCATGACTTCGCTCTCATTGCATGTTCCCTATAGGATAGTTTTGTTAAAACCTGCATGCTAGCGTTAGGTAGATATTTCCCTTTCATTCATTCTGGACTTAGGGATACCATCGTATGATAACATTAGGTTTAGAAATAGGCTAGTCTCCCTTTGACTTTTCTTTCCCCTTTTTGCATACGCATTTTAAAATAAAAACTTCTTTTTCTTACAAAATTAAAAATATTAAAAAATTTACTGACGAGAATCATATCTTTGTTAAGTATGAGAGATGATAAGCGGGTTTATTCTCGACCTTATTGTTCTCTTATTCTAAGCTTTGGTGTCGTTCAAGTCTCAAAGACTTATTTCATGAATAAGTAGAAAAATGACTAATATCTCTCTCTTGAGATTAACTAGCTGTTATCCACAAGCAAAAACACCAACAAACACAAACTCCTTTTTCCTATGGGCTTTTCCTTCAAAATAATTTCAAAAGAGCATGTTAATTCATTTTTGTGCTGACGCGTAAGTCTCCAAAGGTCAAGTTGTGGCAGAAGGCGAAATTAATATTGTTCATTGAAAAAAATACAAACCAACAAAAACATGTGATCCGAACTACGGCTGCTCTGATTCCTTAAAAGGGATAAGTAGGCATCGGGGTAGGGCCCGAGCGAGCACAACTTTTATTTTCCCTACATTATTTTTTCCTTTTGTTTTGCATGCATTCCTTCCTTCAGTAGTATATTAAACAGTAAGTATAGACTAAACACACCCATACGATAGACAACAAGAGTGGATACCATAGAGTACTATGGGCGTGTGGGGTGCTAATACCTTCCCCTTCTGTAACAAACTCCCTTACCCGTATCACTTGGTCGTTCGACCTTGATTTCACCCTCCTCGGGTTTAATCGATGTTTACCTTTCCCTTCCTGTGGAATAAAAAAATGTTCGATGGCGACTTCATTGATTTCAATATCAGTTGATTGTTCAGCAGGTTGTTTCAGATTGTCCATCACAATTCCTCTCCATACAGGCCAAAGATGAATGGATCTGTTGAAGCTGCTAATAAGAATGTCAAGAGAATTATTCAGAAAATGGTTGTTACTTATAAGGATTGGTATGAAATGCTCCCTTTTTCTTTGCATGGATATCTAACATTTGTCTGCACTTCAACAGGAGCAACCCCGTTCTCCCTAGTGTATGGAATGGAAGCTGTACTCCCGGTCGAGGTAGAGATTCCCTTGTTGTATGTGATAATGGAAACCAAGATGACGGAGGCTGAATAGGTTCAGAACAGGTTTGACCAATTGAATTTGATTGAGGAGAAGAGAATGACAGCCCTGTGTCATGGCCAGTTATATTAAAAAAGAATGAAGAATGCTTTTGATAAAAAGGTCAAACCTCGTGAATTCAGAGAAGACGACCTCGTGCTCAAGAAGATCATGTCTTTCAACACTGATTCTAGGGGCAAGTGGACTCCTAATTTTGAAGGCCCATATGTTGTCAAGAAAGCCTTCTCTGGTGGTGCATTAATTCTTGAAACTATGGATGGCGAGGAGTTCCCACGCCCCATGAATGCTGATGTAGTCAAGAAATACTTCGCCTAAAGAAATAAAAGAACAGCTCGCTGAGTTAAAAATCTGAAAGGGCGGCTTAGGCAAAAAGGAGCGTCTTGGTAGGCCGAAAACCCGAAAGGGCGGTCTAGGAAAAATTATAGACATAAACAGAATAAATTTCCCACTAAGTTGAAAACCCGCAACGACAGCTTAGACAAAAGTTAGGGATTTTCATGGCAAGTAACTACGTCAGACAATACTTGATCGTTGAAGCAACAATCTTCTCAGATCCTCACCATACTTCAACAAAAGCTGCTGCTCAGGATTTCAAAAGTTGTTAGGGGGGATAATGGTCATTGTATCTCAATGTATCTTTTCCATTATGTATTACCATGTCCCAAACTTTGTAATCATCTATGGAGTCTCGCCATTCGCAGACTACCATTCTATTAATGAAATTTAAGCTTTTACCCAATTCTTTATGTTTCTTATTTTATTTAGCTTGCAAAGTCTCCATTTATTACTGATGATAATTTTCAAAGCAAAGAGATTAAATAACAAAATTGATTTTTCAAAAAAACAAGAAGAGAAATTTTTACAATTTACTTTTACTTTGAGATTTGTGATGAAACAATGACAACAAAAATGGTGATCCCAGGAATAGACAAACTCCAGTTGATTTGAGAGGTTTTTGTTTCCCCCGGGAAGGGCTACTCGGTTTGTTTTCTCCGTATTGGATTGATGGTTCCGGTATCCTCGGTCAAGTTTGGATTCGTTTCTCCTCTTTTCTGAGTTTTCATAATGTGAAGTTTCAATCCGCGTTTTTCTCCAGTAAAGTGGGTCTGAATTCCCCAGTGAGGTTTGATTGTTTCAGTGTCAGTCTTCTTTACTTGAGACTGGTCTTGCAATCTCCAGTATGCATGTTACTTTTGAAAAAAACACTGGTTTTCTCGATGAAGCCTGAAAAAGGATGTTCTACTGGTTTTCTTCGGATTATGTTTCTCCTCGGTAAAGTTAAAAGCAGAAAGTAAGTTTGGTTTCCGCAGCTGGCCTTTACCTTTCTTCGAATGATCATCTTGGTTGAAGCTTAGCCGAGTGTTGTTAGTTCCTGAGACAGTTTTGCCTGGTTGTTCCCCATGTTGTGAGTCTGTTTTGTCAGCATGCGCACGAAAACACTCATACATTTATACATGCATCATGCATAGTTAAAATTGACAAATCATTTTTCATTGACATTTGTTAATATTTTTTGACATATTACCCTGTTTTGCAAATTTACGTCTCCCTCTCTTCAATAGAGTGTTGGCCTTAAGCAAAAAACACACACACTTTCAATTTCTCTACTGAGTTGCCCCTCATAGAAGATTTTTGCTTTAAACCTTCCGATACAGTTCCTTGTTTGGATGGACCTTGTTTTCCCTTTTGAGTTTATTTATCAAATGTTGTATTCCAGTTAACTGTTTCATTCCAGTTTATTTCTGGTTTGGATCTGTGATTCGCCGACAACATTATTTACTTTGGAATTCTGAAAGAGAAAAAAAACTCCAAGCTTTGGTTGGTGCATTTATTTTGCACAAGAAGACTTTATCCCCTTAGCGAGAATATCATGGCATCTCTATAGGAAGTCATACATGTTGCCCCAAAAAGTCATTTCTTTTTACAATCCTCCGTGACTGCAAATAGCAAGTTCTCTTTATTTGAGACAGCTCATGTATTATCCTTTCCAGGCGGTGTGCCTTGGTTAAAGAAGAAGTTGAGACCCGTTTTAGGCGAAACACAAGAATCTTGGGGAAACTTGTTCTCTTTCTACCTTCAGAGAAAGTTGGTAGACCGTCGGCAGTGAACGTCGATGTTTATTATCTTTTTACTATCTTTAGTGAATGTTGATAGTTCATCGTCAGTGAACGGAGGTGATATATTTTCTCTTTCTACCTTCAGTGAAAGTTGCTAGACCATCGGTAGTGAACGTCGATGTTTATCTTTTTACTATCTTCGGTGAATGTTGATAGTTCATCGTCAGTGAACGGAGGTGATATATTTTCTCTTTCTACCTTCAGTGGAAGTTGGTAGACCATCGGCAGTGAACGTCGATGTTTATCTTTTTACTATCTTCAGTGAACGTTGATAGTTCACCGTCAGTGAACGGCGGTGATATATTTTCTATTTCTACCTTCAGTGAAAGTTAGTAGACCATCGGCAGTGAACGTTGGTAGTTCACCGTCAATGAACAGCGGTGATATATTTTATATTTCTACCTTTAGTGAAAGTTGGTAGACTATCGACAGTAAACGTCGATGTTTATCTTTTTACTATCTTCAGTGAACATTGATATTTCATCGTCAGTGAACGACGGTGATATATTTTATCTTTCTATCTTCAGTGGCAGTTGGTAAACCATCGGCAGTGAACGTCGATGTTTATATTTTTACTATCTTCAGTGAATGTTGATAGTTCATCATCAGTGAACGGCGGTGCCATGATATATTCTCCCTCTACCTTCAGTGAAAGTTT